AGCAGGCTTCAATTTGACAATACTACCCAACAGCAAATGTGTGCAGGCTGATCTTGCAACGTGGCAGTCTCACTTCTTGGCGTTTATGCCTCGCGCGCGGGCGAGAGACATTTGCATGGGGCATTCACTGCAGGCGGACTGACAGTTGAAGAATATCCAAAGCTCCTTAAATGTTCCAGTGTAGGGGAATATTTGAATTTATGGTGGCCAGTTTCTGAAGTGAAATATTACGCAGCAGAGATAAAGGAAGCATTGATGTGCAATCCCAGCTACTCGGGCGGCTAAGGCAGGAGGATCACTTGAGCCCAGGAATTCAAGACCAGCCTGGGCAGCATAGAGAGACCCCCCCAAAATGCTATGTGAATTCTCAGATGGGTGTGTGCGTAAGAGATTAGAAACAGGTCACTGTAGATGTGTGTTCTGTCACTTCTGACGGGAATCAACGAGGGGTGGGTCATGGTGGGCCTTCAGACTTGATCTGTCAGGCTTTTAAATAATACACCAACTGTCTTAATGTCCTCATCCATGTCATTTCTCGGTCTGTTTCCGTTGCTTTTTCTCCTCATCACTGGTGCTATTTCCTGCTTCTTTGCATGTCTGGTAAGTTTTGATTCAATGCTGGACACTGTGAATTTTACCTCGTTGCATGCTAGGTACTTTTGGATCTCCTCTAAATATTCTTGGCTTTTGTTCTGGGAAACAATTAAGTTACATGGAAATAGTTTGAAGTTTGAATCTCTTTGTCTTTTTTTTTTTTTTTTTTTTTTTTAGAGATAGGGTCTCACTATGTTGCCCAGGCTGGCCTCGAACTCCTGGGCTCACGAGATCCTCCTGCCTCAGCCTCCCAAACAGCTGGGACTACAGGCACGCGCCACCGAGCCTGGCTTGTTTGAGGCTTGCTGTTACGTTTTTGTCAGGCAAGACCAGCGCAGCCTTTTTTCCAGGGTTAATTTTCTCCCACTTTGGTAAGAGATTTTTCTCACTCTAGCTGGGGGGAACATAAACGATTTGCAGCCTTGCGTGGGCTGTGAAGGTTGTCCCCTCTGCTCCTCTCGGGTGGCCCTATCTTGGTCTGGGCACACGTGTGTGCCCATTAGTCCTCGGCCCTCTGAAGTCAATCAACCTCTCCCCCCGTCTCCCCGCTGCTCACTCCCCTGCCGGACTCTTTCCTGCAAACTGCAGCCCTCTTACGCCCCCTGCACCCCCACCTTCAACTTTCCAACTTCATGCCTGAAACTATTCATTTATATACTTTACCTATTTTTTCAGTTGTTCCAGACGAGAGGGGAAACCTGATTCTTACTGCTGTAGATTAGCCGGAAGGAGAAGGTGCTTTGATTTTTTAAACGAAGTGCACGCGTGCGGTGGCGCCATGATTCGAGAGGGCGTGTTTCAGGCACCGTGCCTGTCGTGTGTGTTATTCTGTTTTTCCTCCCTGTGCCATGGATACCGCTTCTATTCATCGCGTTTGCAGATGAGGAAGCCGAGGCACGAGGAGGGCGAGCGCCGGCCCGAGGTCACCCGGCTGGTGGGCGGGAGGAGGAGGGTCAGCCTGGCGGCCAGCTCCGGGGCTACGCCTGCAACTCCGACCGCGGCCGCCAGCCAGGCGCTGCTTTCCCACCTTTTTCTTTTTTTTAAATTGAGACGAAATTCATGTAACATAAAATTAATCATTTTGAAGTGCACAATTCCTTGGCATTAAGTAAATTCACTATGTTGTGCCATCACCACCTCTGTCTAGTTCCAGAACGTTCTCATCCCCCCAAAAGGAGACCCCGTCCCCATCAGCAGTCACTCCCCACCCGCCTCCCCCAGCCCCTGGCGGCCGCCGATCTGCTCCCATCTGCGGATCGGCCTGGTCCGGACACTCCGCGTCAGTGGAGCCACACACCGCGTGGCCTTTGTGTCCCGCTCTCGCTCAGCAGCGCGTTTCCGAGGCTCGGCCCGCGTCGGCACTGTGTTCCTGTCCGGCACTGAGTGATACTCCGTGGTGCCACCCGTCCTTCGGCCATCCTTCAGTGACGGGCATCTGGGCTCTTGGCCGTCATGCGTAGTGAGGAACTCCTTTGAAACGCAGGGAAGGATGAAAAAGAAAGAGAGGTCCCCAGCAGTCCCTATTTGCAGCTGAGGAGAGTGGGACAGCCGCAGGGGGCTCAGTGACGTGCCCGGGGCCACAGAGCTCTATGCTCGTTCCCAGTGACACAGCCAATATTCACAGGCACCTACTGCATGCTCATCCTGCACCGTGGGGGGGACAGTGACCTGGGGATTGAGAGAGTGTGACGGGGGCTGGGGGTCAGGAAGGGCTTATTCCCAGGAGGCTGAGACGTGACGGCTAAGGAGGAGTCAGACGACCGGAAATGAGGGGAAGAGCCTTCCAAGCAGGGAGAACAGCCTGTGCGAAGCTCCGAGGCAGAGGGAAGCAAGCCTGGTGTGTCAGAGGCCAAGGCATGGCTGCGTGGCCAGGGCTGGGGTGGTGGTGGCGAGTAGGAAGGCGGGTGCGGGGGAAGGAAGAGACAGGCAAGGAGGAGGCTGACCCTGCAGGGCCTCGGGGACCATCGTGCAGAGTTGGAGTTTTATTCTGAATATAGCAGGAACCACCAGAAATTGGAGCAGGGAACGGATGTGATGTCATTTTAGACTCTTCCTAGGCCAGGTGCGGTGTTGCATGCCTGTCATCCCAGCTACTCGGGAGGCTGAGGCAGGAGGATCATTTGAGTTCAAGGCTGCAGTGGACACAGAGCCGAGACCCTGTCTCAAAAAAAGAAAAAAAAAAAGAAG